ATCCTCATCATCCGCGGGTGCTTCATCATCATCGATTTCAGCTGGACAAGCAAAGGAATCATTAGTTTGAAAAAGGACATGTACTGGAGGCGGTTCCTCCTCAGGCTCCCTTTCCCGATGCACCTGCTGCTCACTGAAAGCCATGACTGGCATTGCTGGGCAGAACTTCTCAATGATGTCTGGGTACAATGCATACATGATGTACTCACACATGACCTTTGGATAGCGCCCTGTTGCAGTGGTCTTGGATCCTTCGATCACAGAATGCTTAAACTCAGGTTCGTGTTGGCATCGTAGCTTGGAGAAAATCCGAGCAGTTCTACCACAAGTAGTTGCAACCCTCCACTTCTTCAAATGGGGATGACCCTGAGAATCTGCAACCCCAACCCTGCAACCATCAAAATCGATGAGCATCATCTCCAACTCCTTGATCATGCGCTTGATCTCATTGGTGGCCCACCCGACACAAAATCGAGGCCATTCAAAATTGACTCTTCCTCCGTTCCTGATGACAACCTTTGCAAGACGATGGAATTTCTTGATCATCAAGCGAGACCTCATGCGTTGAACATCAAGTCTATCTGAAAACTCTGTGCCATATCTACTTGTGTTCATCGTCTGCCATTGAGACCACGGTCCACAGGGCAGGCTACCCCACAAATCACAACCTGGTTTGGATTCAACAATCTTCTCGAGACTCTTGATGACACCCTCCTGCTCCACGTTCAAAGAAGACTCGGTGCATCTGACAACATGGATGCCATACTCTTTGGCAATCTGTCCAATCATAGAATCAGATGACGTGCAGAATTCTATCATCATACCATGTCCAGGTAATGATTCATGGTGTTGTTCAATGGTCACATTTTCACAAGGCTGTTCTGAACGGGAAAAAACTGTATGTTCTTGTGCTACATCTCGTGCGATTCGTCTGTATACTTCAGCCTCGGTTGGCTGTTTGCTGGCCTTCTCCTCTAGGAAATTGGTAAGGTCCTGAACCATTCCATCAATAGAAACACCATGAATTTTCTTTGGAGCTTGATGCACCTTGGATGGACCCCCCTGACCAGCAGCACTGGTGGCATTCCACCGTTGACGCCTGCGGGCCTTTCGATTGGCCTTCTTCAAGTGCTCTTGATAGGGCTGAACTTGCTGAACTTCTTGTGCAACAACAACGGCCTTCTCACCTGTCACATATTCGCGCTCCAGCGCGCTCGCGACGATGACGCGATCAGCACCTGAATCCTCAGCTGGAAGCATAGAACAAACACACGCATATTTTCTCTCCATGCACTCTTCACAAAAGATCGGAGGCGACTCACCAACGCATTGATTGCATGTTGCAGCCATGTTGGCAACATCACCCTTTTCACAAGCATCCTGACATCCAATCTCCTCTGAGTCTGCAACCGCCGGCACCGCCTCATTCTCCAACTGCTGGGGCTCGATGGCGAAGATGGGAATGTTGTTCTGGACCCTTTTGGCGTACCACCGGTGTTTCAGAGGACACCATATCTTGCACTTCTTGTGATTTAGTACGATGTACGGGGCTTCACCATGACGCCAAATGAAAGTTCTACCCTTCTTGATTTGTTGACCAATAGACATCGCCAATGGGCAATGCTCAAGAAGATGCAGCTTCAAGTCCCCAACACGTTGTGCATAGAGTTTCAACTCCTCATGAGATGTCTGCGGTCCACCTCCCGTTGCAAACCTGACCGGATTGTCAAGACAGCTAATCCATGGTTTCACCAATGCAGGATCTATGCCTTGTTCTCGAAGGGCTTGAATGGAACCAATGTCAAGGGCAGCACCAGTATCTCCAAGAAGCTCAATGCTCATGGACTTGAACTGCTCAACACACGGATGAATGGCAGATGCAGCTGTCATGTACTCAAAGTTGGGTGAGTCAACGATTGATGAAATCAATGTAGCCAAAATGGGAACACTCAACTTCAGGAAGACGGACATTGACGGCAGGGCCTTCGAGCAGAACTCGCAGAAGCCTTTCCAAGCTTCCATGACCTTCTTCCCATCGACCTCAGTGATGGTGACTGTGGACGCCGCCGCGGCAGCTACTGCTGTCGTCGGAGTAGAGGCCACAGTAGCCTTATTTGATTTTCCGTCACCCTTCTTTCCCTTCTTGGTCTTTCCATCACCCTTTGAACCCTTTGAGCCACCCTTTCCATCACCCTTTTGATGATTCTTGGATGATGAACTTGACTGCTGATACTCTGTGAAAGCCCTTTTGGCAACATCTGACCCTGGTTCACCGTTGTGTAGGTTGCTACATCCTGTTCCAAATCTACAATGTCCTGCTGCATGAAGAGCACATGGAATCTTCTTCTTCTCCTGACTCGATTTCCCAGGATCAATTGGTCCTGGGGCGGCCGGAACTGAAGCTCGAGATTCAACCTTGGGCTTGCCTGGATGCTGCTTACCTGATGGTTCCTGATGCTGAGCCGGCAAGGCAAGCTGATTCGGTGGAGAAGACTGCAACCCTTTGGACACGTTGTCGAAATTGCTATCGTGCCTCCTTTCTCTCAATTCCTCTGCGATTTGAGCCCATAGCCAATCAAACGTTCTTTTCTTGGAACCACTCCTACTGTTGCGAATCCGTTCAGTCACCCTATTCAACATCGGCACACGTTTGACTTGGTGCCACAACCAAGCATATAGCGTGCTCTCAGCTGGTCTGTCGGATGGCTTGAGGCCGTGCAAAATATAGTTCGTTTTCTTAACGAACTCTAACATCTTTCAGGGATTTTCCAGCCAATTGCAATGATAACAAGTGCATTTGACTGAGAGCAACTGATGTGTCGGCTCCCGTTTCATAGAAGCTGATTATGAGATTCATCAGTGGCATGCCCTTTGGCCCCTCTCGACGAGTGGCACACTCCTCAACCCACGATGTCAACTCATGAGCTAGGTCAGAGTTGGTGGCAAGGACTTCTGGTTTGATCAGCTCTGCGGCCACATGCTTATTGAACATGGAAAACGCTGTTGATGTCTGCAAATCCTCTCTGAACCTTCTACCTCTACCTCCATCCATGCAATGAACGCAAAATTTGACAAGCACATCACGATCTGTGAGGTCTATTCTGCTAACCGCGGCAAGAAAAGCCGCACGCCATTCCCTGCATGATGTAGCATCATTGGGCAATCTAGTGATCTGGATACCCTTCAAATGCTTGATCTTGTACACCTGCTCATCTGACTCACCAGGAAGAAGCCACCCCCCTGGTGGTGGACCACTGTTGCCGGCACCATCACGTCCGCCTCCTGCTGGAAGACTCTCTGACCTGTCAGTGGAACCTTGGCTGTTCGATGATGAATTCATCCTGTGAAACTGTGGCCCGCGAGCCGTGACACTTCCATGCATAGCGATTGGTTGACCATCTTGTTGGGAAGCCTGAAAAAGAGACGGAGGCATCACATGCCCTGCTTGAACCCTAGGTCCATTTGGGTCAAAAACAATCTGATGTTTCTGCATCCCCTGTTGCTCTGCAGTGGCATTGGCCGCGGCCCCCAAACCAGTCAAACATCCTGTGTTAGGAAAATTTGGTGGCATTCCAGCACATGCGCTCTCAGTAATGGGAACGACGGAGCCAGTACCAACACGCTGGATCTGTGATAGTCCAGAATGTGCAAGGCTCGGTGCTCTAAATAGCGGGGCAACACTGCTCGTCTCATGATTTACAAACTGATCCGCGCCATTGTTGGCTGTAACCGAACTGAACATTGTTGAACATTTCCAACATGACGGTCTTCCAACCACATTTTGTGATCCACAACATGCGCAGAACATCACTTCCATCGGATTGACACTAGCAACACTGCAGGCTCTCAACGTGACCTGATCAGGATCCGGTGACCTCAAGGCTGGAGTAACAAAAGGATTTCTATGAGAAAATCCAGCAACAGAGTTGGCAGTTGATGCTCTGTCTCTCTCTGCCATCTGCTGTTTCAAAGCCGCCAACTCTTGGGTCAACAAAGAGATATGGTCATGCATTGATCGCCTTTCCGAATCAAGGCGAAGATTGTCACTCTTCAACTGGGATATGGTTTCGTCAGCACGCTGCATGTTTGACATGATCTCTCCCTCAGCCCTCTTGGCCAAAATGGCCTTCTCGTGCTGAGCTTGCTGAAGCTGCTGCGAATCCCTGTTCATCTGCTGAATCGCCTGATCTCTCTCTCTCTCTCTGGATTTGTGTGATCTGTTGCGAACCTTCTGCCTGCATGTGTTGCAACGCCTGCCTACTCGCGTGCTCTGCCTGACTTAATCGCGCTTGATGTTCTATCTCAAGTCTCGCGAGCTGCGCGTTCATTTGATCGCGCATCTGTGAAACAGTAGCCTCCACCCGATATTGAACAGTAGCATTTACCATCTGCTCAAGGTGTTGAGGATCTACCATGTGATTGATGGATTGAGTATGGTGAACATTGTGCTGAAGATGATTCAACGTGTTCTGCTGAATGTTTTGAGTATTGAATTGATTCAATGATGCACCATCCTGCCCAGTCGATGACCCAGCAGCAGCCTGTCCTGACGAAGAAGTACATCTGCCTCTCTGCATCGTTGTAGTAGCAGCCGTTGACTGCAAGGCATCCTGAGACACGGCATCCCGAATCGCCGGCATATTTGATGCCGACTGCATTGGTTGATCTGGAGACTCACTCGAGGTGGTCCACTCAGAATGATCCGGTCCCACAACCCTAAACGGAGTAGCAGGCTGCTCCCTTTTCATCGACACTCTCTGGCAGAACACCCCGCGCAAAGCGCGTACTACAGACAACCACCTGAATCAGTCGCGAAATCGCGAACAGAGCAAAATGCCCAAGACTACCGCGCAAAGCGCGAACTGCTGAAACGAAGCCCTCGCGCCCAAAGTGGGCAGCGATCAGAGACAAGACGAACCAATGAACTGCGCCACACTCCTGAAAATCCACAAGGTTGTAGACACCAACGTTCCAGAAGACGCCCACAATCTCAAAGAAGCTCAATTGAAGGACTTGAGCACCGATGGCACTGGGAACTCACTGACCTCCTTGTCCTTCACCAAATTGGCAAGGGGCTTCAGCGAGTCCGTCGGAGAACGACTGTTTGCAACCACAGTCTGGACCCTGTTCCCCACAGCACGACTTGACTGCAAGGATCTGATGTCCTGGCACAACTCCTCCTGGTCGTCGATGTAGATAGCACACCCAAGATCCCGGACAAGCTCTGCCTTGGACTCCCAATTGCCTGTGATGCTCGCTTTCCTGGCGTAGTCCGAGGTCTTCTTCCGAGGCACAATGGAGATCTGCGTGAAGTTGCGCTCTAGCTGGGCCTGAAGGTTCGTAGCACCGTCAAGCGTCTGCCTCTGAGTACCCACGTTGCTGGAGAAGGACACCACGCAGAAGTCAAACCCTTCCTCTGGAGCTCCCTGATGAGAACAACGGAGGCCGGAGGAACAAAGGATTCCTTCACCCCACTATCGGTGTACTTCTCGTGGCTCAAAGTGCGATGCCAATCCAAACCAATTAATGGCCTCTCAGCACCACCAGCCCCAACCGAGGTCCTTGAACCGGAACTCGGAGCAGCTCCTCTAGCCTTCTTCTTCTTTGTCGGAAGGGGTGAAGAGCTCCTCGCAGGCTCCTCCTCAACTTCTATCACCTCCTCAGCTGTGCCAGACACAGCCTTTGCCCCTGTCACCTTTGGCGACCTCGGCCGTGATGAAGTTGCCTCAGTTGTCTCCGCAGTAGGTTTCACTCTTGGCCTCGGCAACTGCTTCCTAGCGCTCTCCTTTGGAGCCTCAGCCACCCGAGTGTCGGCCTTGGCAACTGGAGTTTCTGCCTCGGCCACAGATGTACCTGCCTTGCTAGGCTTTGCAGGAACACCCTTTGGACTCTTCCTCCTCAATGGCGACCTTGATCTCCTCCTTGAAGGTGCCTTTGGTGGAGCAGTCGGAGCCGCCGACCTATCCACCGACGAAGCAGCCCCAGGATCTTCCGAATTCGGAACCCACACCCAAGACAGCTGCCACTGGCCCTCAGCTGCACCACTCGGAGCTGGAGGCGGCGGAATCGGCCGAGCAGGCACCACCACCGAGGACTGGGTCACAGTGACCTGCCTCTGCGGCACACCCCTCCTTGACTCTCCACCAGCCACAGAAGCAGCTGGTACAGCCCTTGGAGGATACCTTGGCTCAACTGGCCCCTTTGCCACAGCCCCAGTTTTTGCGACTGAGCGTGACCTCTCTTCTCTCCTTTCCTGGGCAATACGATCAGCTTCAAAACTGTCCGGATCGTGGTAGTCCAGGTGGGAGACCAGGCCAGCAGCCTTGCGATTCACTTGCGAGCGACGAAATGGATCACCACCTCGCTTCCCACGAGTGCGCTTCGGAGGAGTGTCCGACATCCGCGCAATGCGCGAGCAATGAGTGACTGTGTTGTTTGATAAAGGGCCCAATGATCCAATAATCAAATGATCTCACTCAGTATGATTAAGCCGGGCTGCGGCTGATAACCAGTAGAAATATGATTTAACCACCTGTATCCGTATAATACAGTAAATCGCGCAAGCGCGAACAGCAAGGATCAAGTGCAAAAGAATCGTTGACAGTGCAGTTGAAGCTAACACGTTGTCAGTGAATCACCAGTTGCAGTGCAGTGAATGTCAAACACAAACAGCAGCGACACACTTTTCGATCGATCTTGAGCCAAACCCGTGTAAGGCCACGACCGTCACCTCCAAGAAACTTTCAAGATTCCCGGATACTCATGTTGGGCTATTTATTCCGAAAGTGTGAATTATGACACTTTACATCCACATCTTCAGCATCATGCAGAAAAACGTCCAAAAGCATAGCTAGTATGCAAGACATGATGATGGCCATGCACAGACATGCCTGGTATTCAGGTAATCTTTTCTTCATATGGTATCATTTGATATGTTATGACAATTTTCATCGCTATATGATAGTGTTTTCGGGTTTCAGGCAATATAAATGTAAAGTTGAAAAGCCTCTGCGCTGGATGTCCCTGCAAAATGCATATGTTTGTCAGCCCGAACTTTTATAACTTACATTTTCTTTTCCCCCATGGCGCCTAAAGGTGGGTATATGTTGTGTAAATGGTGGAAATCATAGTTTTCTTTCAACACGCTGTGTATTTTGATTGTATTTTGAACATGATTTAGATATGATTTAGGTATGATTTAGAAATGTTTTTTTTGGATATTTTGTGGATATGTTTAAGATATGGTTTAGATTTAGATAGTTTATGGTATTTCATGGTATCATATGATACTTTTGATATGTTATGACTTTTTTTAATGTTGTCTGACCAATAGTGATATCTTGTCAATAGTAGAAACATTTTTCCGCAACTCCAATTTTTCTCCAATACTAAAAGTCAATTAGCTCTATTTACTTTTAGTATTGCCAAAAGAGTCATGTTCAGACCTTGTCCAGAGGGCATGGCCAATAGTGGACCCAACATGGCAATAGTGGAAACTTTTTCTTCAACTCCAATTTTTTCTCCAATACTAAAAGTCAATTAGCTCCATTTACTTTTAGTATTGCCAAAAGAGTCAAGTAAAGCAAATCCTTTTCAAAGCAGCCTTCACTTTTGATTAGCAAAAGCTTAGATTCCAGAAATCTGATCCAATTACCAAACAGCTGATTTCCTTATAAAACCCTTATTAAAAAAGCAAGAAAACAGGTCCACAAAGGGTACCCCCTTTGCAAGCCCCAGAATAGCAATAACAAACCTGCACCAGGCATGGCAATAGTGGAAACTTTTTTCCGCAACTCCAATTTTGTTGTCCTCCTTCTCCTTCTCCTTCTTCTCCTTCTTCTCCTCCTCCTCGTCCTCCTCCTTCGCCTCCACCACCTCTGCCTCCACTTCCATGTCCACTTCCGCCTTGCCAACTCTTCGCCAATCTCTCAGAAACCCAACCAAATCCATTCAGAATCTATCAGAAACCCAACAAAACCATGGAGAATCTATCAGATACATATCATGATCCCAGCTATAGATTCCCAAAAATTATTATAGGAAGGTTGACCCCCCTAAAAAAAAAGGCAGCCAACATTAATCGCTATATGATAGTGTTTTCAAGTTTCAGGCAATATAAATGTAAAGTTGAAAAGCCTCTGCTCTGGATGTCCCTGCAAAATGCATATGTTTGTCAAAATATGCCGCAAAATGAGATTTATATCCATAAATTATGTCCGTAATCAGTTTAAAACATTCAGTTGTTTATTTTCAAAGTATTGCAATGATTTTTTGAAAAAATGTTTTCAAAATAGGTTTGTCAAAAACACAAAAAGATATGGTTTAGATAGTTTATGGTATCATATGGTATCATTTGATATGTTATGACAATTTTCATCGCTATATGATAGTGTTTTCGGGTTTCAGGCAATATAAATGTAAAGTTGAAAAGCCTCTGCGCTGGATGTCCCTGCAAAATGCATATGTTTGTCAGCCCGAACTTTCATAACTTACATTTTCTTTTCCCTAATGGCACCTAATGGTGGGTATATGTTGTGTAAATGGTGGAAATCATAGTTTTCTTTCAACACGCTGTGTATTTTGAATGTATTTTGAGTGTGATTTAGATATGATTTAGATATGATTTAGGTATGATTTAGATTTGTTTTTTGGATATTTTGTGGATATGTTTAAGATATGGTTTAGATTTAGATAGTTTATGGTATTTCATGGTATCATATGATACCTTTTGATATGTTATGACTTTTTTTATCGCTATATGATAGTGTTTTCAGGTTTCAGGCAATATAAATGTAAAGTTGAAAAGCCTCTGCGCTGGATGTCCCTGCAAAATGCATATGTTTGTCAGCCCGAACTTTCATAACTTACATTTTCTTTTCCCTAATGGCACCTAATGGTGGGTATATGTTGTGTAAATGGTGGAAATCATAGTTTTCTTTCAACACGCTGTGTATTTTGAATGTATTGTGAGTGTGATTTAGATATGATTTAGGTATGATTTAAATATGTTTTCTGGATATTTTGTGGATATGTTTAAAATATGGTTTAGATTTAGATAGCTTATGGTATTTTATTGTATCATATGATACCTTTTGATATGTTATGACTTTTTTAACGCTATATGATTAGGTTTTCAGGTTTCAGGCAATATAAATGTAAAGGTGAAAAGCCTCTGCGCTGGATGTCCCTGCAAAATGCATATGTTTGTCAGCCCGAACTTTTATAACTTACATTGTCTTTTCCCCCATGGCGCCCAAGGTGGGTATGTGTTGTGTAAGTGGTGGAAATCATAGTTTTCTTTCAACACGCTGTGTATTTTGAATGTATTTTGAACATGATTTAGATATGATTTAGGTATGATTTAGAAATGTTTTTTGGATATTTTGTGGATATGTTTAAGATATGGTTTAGATTTAGATAGTTTATGGTATTTCATGGTATCATATGATACCTTTTGATATGTTATGACTTTTTTTATCGCTATATGATAGTGTTTTCAGGTTTCAGGCAATATAAATGTAAAGTTGAAAAGCCTCTGCGCTGGATGTCCCTGCAAAATGCATATGTTTGTCAGCCCGAACTTTCATAACTTACATTTTCTTTTCCCTAATGGCACCTAATGGTGGGTATATGTTGTGTAAATGGTGGAAATCATAGTTTTCTTTCAACACGCTGTGTATTTTGAATGTATTGTGAGAGTGTGATTTAGATATGATTTAGGTATGATTTAGATATGATTTGGATATGATGCAGGGGAGGTTTCCAAAAGCCTGCAAAAACACATGGGGGTTGTCCAAAATTATGGTACCCGAAAACGCCCTTACGCCACGCCGCGCTTTCGCGAACCTTTCGTGCCCTTTCGCGCCCCAGCAGAGTCGGGACATGAGACTATGATCAGGTTTTCGTTTACTTAATAAGTTTATTGAAAAAATTGTATTCAAACCTTTCCCGAACCTTACGCCGCCCTTTCGCCACTGCAGCAAAACATACACATCCATATCTGCATATGTCACTCGGATACTAAAAGCCTTGCATGGGTTTTAGGACGACTCCCACATGAAGACTGTGGCAAATGCAAAATTGGGGGGGGGGGCTAAAATGTATATAAGTTACCATGTCCCACATCGATTGTTACATTTTAACCGCCCCCTAATTTTTAGGGCCAAAAAAAATGTAACTTACAATTTCCCACCCCGCCCACTTATTGTAAGTTACAATTTTTCTGCCCCCCAAAAAAACCAAGGTTAAGGGGGTGGGGATTCTATATTCTCCACATATCATGTCGCCTCCTTCCAACTTGCATTGGTTCCTTCCATGTGTTCTTCATTTGTCAAATGTGCCCCTTTCCAAGTTGCATGTGTTCTTTAAATTGTTCCTCCATTTGCCATTTTTGCCTCTTTTCAACTTGCATTTTGCTTTCCCATTTTTTCTGCAATTGTCATGTGTGCCTCTTTCAGATTCGCATTTTCCAATTCCATTGTTTTTGCATTGTTTCTCCATTTTTCAAGATGTAAACATCCTAGACCCTAGAACAAGCGCAAGCCGACAGCACAAGATTATTGTGTCGTTTTTTTCCCAAATGCGTACCGAAGGGTTCTCGTTTTACTTTGGGGGTCTGAACCGTTCGCAACCTCCGCGGACGTCCGAAGTGAGGGCAATATGGTGACTTTTGGAGGTTTAAAACGTCGCGTAGCATCGTTTCGTGTGGAACAGGTGTGGCGCTTCGTGACATTCCCACATGTTTCAACGTGTCCTACAGTAAGTCGTTCTGTGTGACGGGCGCGATACTTTTGCGTCGTTTTCCAGTAGATGAGTTGCATTTTTCTTTTCATGCGCAGCATTTTGCTAAACTCCATGGTCATTTTGTGTGGCAGGAGCACTTTAGACGTGTCGCGTTGCGTGTTTTTTGCGAATTGCATTGTCGGAGCTGCCCGAAGTGGTGACAAAGTGCAAATTGCGTGGCAGGCGTGGGGCATCGTGAGATGTGATGAAAGTTGGAGGACGCCTCGCACGAAACATCAATTTTGAGGTAGCAAGTCTATTGGGAAGCTGCAAAACCTGTCACTTTCGAAGGTTTCAAAACAGGTTGTAGTATGTTGTAATGTCGTTTTGGGTGGCAGGCCACTTCGTGACATTCCAACATGTTTCATAACGTGTCTGAAGTCGTTCTGTTGGACAGGCGCAACACTTTTGCGTCGTTCTCAGAAGATGAGTTGCATGTTTCGTGGCAGGCACCTCCATGGTCATGTTGCGTGGCAGGAGCACTTTAGACGTGTCGCGTTGCGTGTTTTTTGCGAATTGCATTGTCAGAGCTGTGCGAAGTGGTGACAAAGTGCAAATTGCGTGGCAGGCGTCGGACATCGTGAGAGTGTCATTTTGCGAGGCAAGCTACGCGCGGCA